GTCAGCCATTTTGGGGGTAGGTATGTCATCTCAGAGCCAAGTTCTTGACTCAGATATACACCTTATTCCAAAATGGCTGACTAGCCCTTGATATCTTGTTTTAATGAAATTGTTTTTTTCTTTTAAAGTCACTCAAGCTCAAAGACAAAAGAATAATTTTATGAAAACGAGACATCAAGGGCTAGTCAGCCATTTTGGAATGCGTATGGATACCACAGGGGTCCCAAAAAGGCAAAACACCAGTTACCTGTAGAGAAGTCTCAGATATTCTTCTCCCTATTTACCAATAGTCTTGCTAGATGAACTGGTCAGTTGTGAGATTCCCTGGAAGTGACAAAAGGGGATTCCCTGATTTTCAGTAATTTATTGTTGTTTTATATCCAGGCAGCATCAAAAGCTCAACAGAAACAGCTTACAGCAATTGATCTCTTTCTAGAGAGTGCAAGGACACAAATCAAAAGTCTAATGGAGACTGAACCTTCATGTTAGCACTGATATTAAATTTAGGAAAAAAAGTTAATGGAAATTTAGATCAAGAGGTGCAACCATGCCCATCATGCACTCTGATAAAAGGGTGTTGTCACCACAGGGTTCCCAACCCTCCTAAGGGGTGATGTATTTTTAAAGAATTATGTAAAATAATGCTCAAGTTCATTCATTTTATACAGAAAACCCCTGGTTCTACCCCTGAATAGTGAACTAAAATGGCTATTTATATACCAGAAACTATTTAATCCTACTTGGTTTGGGTACAACAATATATATCCTATTTCAAATTCTGGGTAATAAAACATGACAGAATAGCAAAAACAAAAAAATAATTTTATCAAACATTGCTGTAGGCAAGGTCTCTGGTTTGTCCACCCTTGACAAGTGTTTGATTGTTTGGCATTTCAACAATTAAATTAATACAACTCAATTCTAGCATCATAATAGTAAAAATTAGTTTAAACTGTGACATCTACTCTGTGTTAAAAGAGTAGGTAAATAAGGCAATTAGACAATTATCTGACTCTATTAAATTTTATTTTCCTCAAAATGAATGATAAATACATGGTACAAGCTAAGGTACTGTTTTACGTATAAAAATTCTTAATCACAAAATACAGTCAAAATTACTTTATAATCTATTACAATTATTATTGGGTCTATAATACTTAATAATTGTATATTTTCATTAGCAATATTTGTATGAAATAGTGCTACTAAAATATACTTTGAATTATCTTTACATGTTACAACGTTATCAGCTACATTGATAAGTTATTTTGATTATTTTGAAGTCACACCCACTCTTATTGCAATAATACAATTAGATTAGTGAATTATCAGATAAATAGATATCTAAATACTTTGACAGCTACTTACAAATGATGATTAATATCACATTGATATCAAGAGCAAAAATCTACAATAGTATTAAACCATATTAAGTCAAATCAGTTCTGCATCAAAATATCCCAAAATTCATCTTCATAATTATGAAACCTCAGTGCTTCTATTCCCTCCCAAATCCCATTAATTCCATGCAAATAGAATAACAAAACTATAATAATGTAGGTTAATAAATAAGATTAATCACACTTTCTTGTCATGCCCTCTTTGTGTCAAACCTAGTATGTTTTATAATGTGCTGAACAAATGTAAGTCATAATTCATTATCAGCCAACTGCAATTGTTTTTTGTTCTTTTGTTGTGTATAAGGTTTGGTACATGAGTTTCACTTGAATCTGTGCTAAAATTTAACTAAGTAACTGGTACTTAAATCAATCTGTACCCTCGACTTTTTAAAAAATATATATTTACATTTAAAGTGCAAGGATTATACCAATGAAATCATCCTTTAAAGAAATTTATCTAGCGTATCCATAACTAAATAAAATGCAATACTTGGAAAAGCAACTCCTATCTCCCTGGTAAAATTACATCTTTTTTTTGTGAATGCTCATTGTAATTACAATTTAATAGCCAACAACTGTACAATATGTTTATTCTAAAAGAATTGTAGAATTGTTGGCTATTAAATATTCTTCCTGGAAATGCTGTCTTGGGTGTTTGGAAATGTTGAGTTGGTGGATTATTATTAGTAACCCTAGTTTCACAGAATAAAAAACTATTTTGAGAGAATACATGATATTGCCCTACTTTTTATCTTTGAAACACTAAACAAGTCCCACTTAAGATATATTGTACCTATTATTTTGAAAATAGTAATCTCATTTCTTAATAGTCCTAGTATTTCCAAGTATTGATGCTACTGACAGTAAGGTTTTGCATTCTTTTACCATTTTAAGGTAGCAATACAGTTAGGATACAATACAAGGATTATTCTGGTAATCAAAGTAGATCATGTCCATGGTTTTGTTGTAGGTAAAAGTGTTTTTCTTTATGCTGTTGAATTGGTAGGTGTGATAAGTGTAGATAAAAGTGTAGAATTAAATACAGTAGGTGTGGCAATAGTTGCATTTATAGGGTGTCGTCCTTCATACATGCTTTCATCATATAGGATTCCTAAACAATAAAATAAGATGAGTCAATCATACATGAACACAATCTCAAGATTCTCTTTAGGTTTTTCTCTGGTTTAGGTAAGAGATGAATAAAAAGGTGCAACTCAAAAACACATTGGAGCAATTTGTATTTTAGAGACAAACAGTATTTACTGTATACTTGATTGTATAAAACAACTAGTTTGGGGTACAAATTACAGTTTATGTGTTGTTCGATGGCTGAAATAAGTAAAGAAACAGACTGGATTTAATGGCACTGAACTTGTTTAATCCGCCATACTAGATTTACACTAGAAGCATCCCTTTAATGAGAATGAGGCAGCGGTACACAGGGTACCCAGACACTACAATTTACTTTGCTAGATCAATGATTACATGCTTATTAGTAGTGATTGATGAGAGAGAGAAATTGCACATGTGAATATGTAAAAACAATAGTTTAAAGATTACTAATATAATTTTGCCAGTACAACTCTAGCATTGTGGCCCTCTCAAAGCCATGAAATGGTGACTTATGACACAGGGAGGCCAATTCACATATACATACCAGCTACACATGCTGTCATAAAACATGCAAATGTGCCTGCGAGCAATGCTCTAAGTGCAAGCTTAGACATGTCTGAGACTCGATGAGGTGCCATTGGCCCAAGCCCTCCAAGTTGAACACCAATTGAACCCAGATTAGAAAATCCACACAGTACGTACGTTGAAATGATTTCAGAACGGATCTATGTAACAATTTACAAAGATAATTGTAACACTTACCAGCAATACAAGCTGTCATCAAGCAGGCAATAGTTCCAGCTAACAGAGCACGCAATGCAATCTTGGCCATGTCACTTATCCGAGTAGGAGCCATAGGCCCAAGTCCACCCAGCTGAATTCCGATTGAGCTAAAGTTGGAGAACCCACAGAGCGCATAGGTTGCTAGAATTTCAGATCTCACCTGGTTGAGATATGTGAAGCAATGCAGTGGTTATGTTAATGATAGAATGAAAAGAATGCTATGACATTTGAACACAAAGATAAAAGGAGTTTGATAGATAGGTTAAGTCATTCATCATGTGGATGGCTTGAACAATGAAATGCAGTGTAACCAAAATTTATCTACTGTTAAGAGTTCAAACTCAAAGACCTTAGAGCTTAAGCCAAAGCCTGCGTGCATGTAATAAATTATAGGTAAGAGATGTTATTAGCATGCTTATGACTGTCAGGTGTAGAGAAGCATCTTTGATTTATAGGTATATATAATATAGTGGTATTAGTATGGGTATCTGTAATATTGAGGTATTAAAAAGGAATGTAGCTTAAAGGTGTCTGTAATTGGACTCATTGTTGTGTCCCTGCCTTATCTTTTTATTTCTTATCTAATAAGCATAAATTAATTTCAAGTACCATTCTTCACTTGTTACAGTTATAAATATGTGTTTCTCAAAAATAAAGGTGAGTTATCTATGTCCACAATATGCCAATGTATCCATTGCATTTCAAACTGGATACAACTGACACTACTGAGAGCTTGAACTGTTCAGCCATCCAAATGATGATTGCTTTAATTGTGGAACTATTATTTGTACAGAAGACGTGATGTATTCAGAATGAAACCTTTTGTAGAACTACAAAGCAATATTTGCATTGCTTTAGATTTGGTAGAGAAAAGCTGTAGTTGTCAATCAAAACTGTTAACAGTTCTAAACCAATGGGTGGCAAGGAAAAAAATAGCAAGTGATGGTGAGTCAAGTTATTTATCCATTGATGGTTTTTTACACACAATATAGTTGACTGCAAAAGGCTTGCCACTGTAAAGACTGTTTGAAAACTGATACACAGGAAACCCAGACCACACTGAAATCAATAATTCTTACACAGGGAACCCAAATATTTTATCCTAGAAATACGCAATATATGCATAATATTGGCACAGGAAACCCAGACAATGTGAAATGTATAGTGAAGTAAATTTTGGATTTTTGCATTATTTTCACTAAGAATAAGAACACAAACACCTATTTTTCAAACTTTAAAAGTACTGTAAATACAGCAGAACTAAGTGATGTTATAATAATAATCACAAAAAAAAAGTTTTTACCAGAGTAACCCTTACACCAACAGTACACAACTACTACAATACACTTTATACAAGTCACACAATTAACACAGGGAACCCAAATATCATAAAAAAATCAGTGGAAATAAAACCCAGAAAAGTAGACTTAAAAAATCAGTGGAAATAAAACCCAGAAAAGTAGACTTAAAAATAAGTATCAATCAGCATTTCAAGAGATTTGTGAGTTGGAGGTGAAGTGCTCTATTGTTACAGCTACAAGTTTAGGTGTTTAGGTTTGTGATATTTTAATGAAATGAGTGGATGGATGAGATGAAATGAATGGAGTGAAGTTAAGATTTTTTAGCTCATTTTAATTCAGTGGGTTTAGTTCTGATGCCAAGTTGCAATGCGTTTACTCTGTTTGCTGGTGAACGAGAAAAAAAAAAAACACAACACAAGGATTTGAAAGAATTTTGATTTTCCTTTGGGCCTACTGTCTAACCTTGTATCCTTCCTCAACTATCTAAAGGCCCTGGAGTTCCATATGATATCATGTCACTGTGTCTGATCAGGAAAAGGTTTACAGCCTGATAAAATATGAAGTGTATAAATTTGACTGATACACAATAAAATCAACTCAAATTCACAATTTTAACAAAGAATTCTTTAAAAATAAAATCCATTGGCAAACTTAAAACAATTTGTTTTTAATACTAATTATTATTTAACATTTTTATGGCAACGCATAAAATGTAAATAACTAATTACATTAAAAGCATCAAATTGTTTTATTTTGAATGGTTTCATTCTAAAGAATTTTTTAATTTAAAATTGCAACATTTTAAGTCTCAATTATTGTCTTAATCCAATCAAATTTTATGTTCAATTAGGAGAATATCAGGTCTGATCAGCAATACATACATCAGTGATCATTTCCACTTGTAATACCTATACAATTACAGGTATTCAACAAAATGAGAATAATTCTCACAAATCCTTGTAAATTATTATATTCTAAGATGTTTCTGGTTATGCTTTCTACTTTAATATTTACTGATGTGCATAATGTGTGTTCTATCTTTTTTTATAATCCAACTCATGTCTCTTTTTTTGCTGATTTGTAGAACTTTTATTATTGCAAAAAATAAAAAATAAAAAAATAAATCCCAAGTCTTTAATTGTAAAACCGATAAAAATCCGATCCTAGTTGTTTGAACTTTTCTTTTTTCCCATGTTTTCCACTTTTCATTCAGTTTCTTGTTTTCTTGCTTTCAGTTTCAAGGGGATTTTTCAAAACAAAAAACTACCAACAAACTACTATCTACTACTAAACATAAAAACTACTACAACTACAACTACCACTACTTCTACACATCAACACATATATCAATGTGGAGAGGCAGCTCGGGCACCTTAACCCACTATACTTACGGAGATGGTACGGGCATCCAACATCTCTCTTCTGTTTTTAATAAACCCTGAGAGTCTGATATAAGCAACAAACTCATTTAAAAACGTTTTAATACCAAGCAACTCTGCTACGACATCACAGTCTTGCCATCTGACTCCCATCATGAAGGCAAAAGGACGCAGGAGATAGGAACAGATAAACTACAGGTAAAAACAGATGAGTTATACATGTACAAATCGTTCATAGTGTTGATAATTAGACAACAGCATTATTTTGCTATCTATTTCACTGATATTTGCACCCATTGGAAGAGTTTGGTAAGAGGGAAAGCTCTACAAACATCAGGAGAGTCTGTCTGGTTTGTAATAGAAGAACGACTTTGAAAGATAATCCTAAGGTATTTACCTCAAATTTGACCTCAGGATGACCAACCATTGAGAAGAACCAGGAAAGAAGAGCATTGAAGAATGACAAAAATGCAAGGAATGCAATTAAGTTGGCAGCAATGTTAGCAACTAGTGAGATAGCTGTACTGGCACCTTTTGCAGCTGCTTCTATAATATTACGTTCTTCGCTGTAACAAAGAAATCTGAATGAGCATACAAATTCATGTATTGTAAAACCATTTAAATGCAAAAGAAACCATTAAAATGTCAAGCATAGGAAGCCATTTTAATGTCACAGGAAACCAATTCAATGTTATAAATTCTAAACACATAGTTTAACCTTGAGAACCCATTTTAATGTAGTATAAAACATTACAGTGACATGTAACTTACCCCTGTGGAAGTTCAATATCGTCATCAAGTGATTCTGGAATTTCTGTCTCAGGATAAAGCAGTTTTGAGATAGCAAGAGCAGCAGGGGCAGACATGACAGATGCACTAAGTAGATGTGATGCAGATACTCCAAACTCGATATATGCAGCCAAGACGCCTCCAGCAATGGTTGCAAAACCTCCAGTCATTATAGCATGTAATTCAGACAGTGTAACATGACTCAGGAATGGTCGTACTAAAAGAGGTGCCTCCGTCTGAAATATAGAAAAAAGTCAGAAAGAGAAATGTCTCAAGCAGTGTATACGGTAAAATGACCAGTAAAATAGGCAGGAAGGTTACCTGGCCAATAAAGATGTTTCCAGCAGCATTTAATGACTCAACACCAGAGGTTTTCATAGTAATTTGCATAAGCCATGCAACTTTCTTGATAATGACTTGCATTAGACCACAGTAATAGCACACAGAGATAAAGGAACTGAAGAAAATTACTACTGGAAGAACCTATAAAGAAAAGAAAATTGAAATAGCAATTTAAACAAGACAAAAATACCATGAATTTAGAGAATTTCCCTTAAACAAAAATAACAAAGGAAACGTCTTGACCTTACACTTCCTGTAGGCTTGATCTCCTATTGTCTTTTTTTTTTTTTTAAAAAAAAAAGCAATCTTATCTGACTAGGTAGTAAAATTACTATGACCTTCAAAGCCCTGTCAATATTTATCACCAAGCCTGTGCTGTTTTCAATCTAACATCACTACCAAAAGGGTAACAAAAAAACACACACAGGCAAGAGATCTTGATATGATTACAGGAAGCCATTTCAATGTATTTTATTGGGAAACCATTAAAACGTTGTACATTGGGAAACCATTAAAACGTTGTACATTGGGAAACCATTAAAACGTTGTACATTGGGAAACCATTAAAACGTTGTACATTGTGAAACCATTAAAACGTTGTATATATTGGGAAACCATTAAAACGTTGTATATTGAGAAACCACTTAAATGTATTGAGTTGGGAAACCATTTAAATGTTATACATTGGGAATCACTTTTTGTTCAAAACCCTATTGATAGGAAACTATTTTATTACCCTTAATTTGAATACCAATCCACTTAGTTTACAATGTTATACATTACCTTAAAAGCAAAGAAGTGATTCATGTATAAATCACCAAAGACAAACTTTGCACCATCATTTGTGTAATCCAGAAATACTTGAACAGTATCCCCAAGGAACTTGAATGTAGAAAAGCCAGCACTGGTGCGAAGAATCAGCAGGCCAAAGATGAACTGTAAAGCGAGTCCCCAGATAACTGGACGCCATTTAACCTTGCGTCTTTTAGCAGAGAGTAGCCAACAAATGAAGATGTTCATAAAGAGTCCAGCAACAGATATGAATCTTTCTGGTTCTTTAGCTGTATCAAGACCAAGGAACAATCCAATGAGTACTAGCAGGACAACCAAGCAAACCCTGTTGAAGAGAATTAATTATTTATCTTTAATTATAATAAATTATTTTAAACAAAAACAAAAAACTTACCATTTCAACCACTTCCACTGACTGTCAATAGCTGCTACTGTTGGTTGTATACAATAGTGGTAAATTCCAGACCCAAAATGCTCTCTGATGAACATATAAATCAAGCAGAACCACAAGAACAATGTGACACCAAAGAGAATCTTGACTTTCTCAAAACCGCTGATAACAATAGCAATAATGGTATATATCAAGAGAAGCGTTGTTATTATGAGGAAGGTGATATTGAAGTGGTGTCTCTGCCATATTTCACTCCACTTGCTCATTTCAGGGAAGTTTTGGAAGTGTATCACTGTCTTTCTGCCGCCTAAGTCTGGACTGTCATCTGGACTGATAGGTTGTAAAGCCTTTTTGGAACTTGATACTCCAGACATCTCCAATTGGTCAGTCTAAAAGTGGAAAACTTTCTTTAACTAACAAAGATAATTAATTAATACCACATTTGTGGTAATTAGTCACCAAAAATGTGTTTATACTCGGAGAAAGCCGAACTATCAACATTTGAAAACTTGAATTTTTTTAATCGATGCCTATTTCATGCAACCACCAAAGTAATGTTAAATGCAACAGATAATACACCGAACATTTTATCAGATCTTATATTATTATTCAAATAACTTTAGCAATACTTGTGAATAAGGCAAGTCATGCGAATAAAGTTTGTTGTTGAGATTAAACTGTTTTTACATGATTTTATTGATTCCCTTAAATTTCTCACAGACTATGTATCCCTAGCAACTACTGAGGCTTACACATACATGTACTGTTTATAGAACTGACAATTTACGAATCTTCCTGACAAACTTTGACCTCTTGCAAAATGTAAACAAATCAAGATCGCTATAATGTTGACAATGAAAAGTGTTTACAATCACACTTGCTGGGAAAATGACTGAATTCCAATGAAATACGTTTAGATTGAAGTTTTAACTTGATGGCAAAGTAAATTAAGACATTGTACAACGTCTGATCATCTGTGGTGGTTACACTCGGGTGTACTCCTTCATAGTACATATACATATGCAAATCCAGACTGTTTACATGTCCTTACATCTATTGCGTCTAAGAAAATTAGTCATTTATTTTAACTTATTTCGATTTTCTAGAATATTAACTAACGCCATTTAAATTAATTCAGTAGTAAAGATCACACATTTTTTTTAGATATTAATAAAAAAACAAGTCGGTGCCACGCAAGGGTGAAGATTATAAACAATGAACATCGCAAGGATTTTAATCTGTTCCACACTGTTTCACACCTTGGTTAAAAACACCAACAAACACAATTTCTTTTTCACCAAATCATATTATCCAACATCAGAAGTTAGCCTTCAGCGAGGAATCACCCTCGTCGTAGAGCGGTGAAACACGTTAACACGTGCACCGGAAAACAGTTTTTGAAGCACACATAGGAAAACGATTTCACGCCGCGATGAATATGCCATATATTTGTACTTTTACGAAATCCTTATAATAACTTAATAACTTTTTTGAATAATAAACTGACATAAGGAAAGCCTTTGGTGAAAAATCAAGGTCTTTTTTTATAGTAATAACGATGGCCGTGCAATACCAAACGTCATGTACCCTAGACGATGATATACGAGTATAACACGCCGCTATACGAATAACATATGTTTTAAACTTGAAATATTCACTTTGGAAAGAAAAATACATTTATATCGTCGATAAAACAAATGCTTTAAGTATATGTCCAAATAACAGTGGATTTTGTACATTTGCGCGTGAAAGATGGGAATCAATAGTGTGGCGTCTATTACACAATATATACGACTCTGGGTTACTTCTACTGTACAAGATAAACTAACAGAGAAACAACTATTAAACACATACCGATGCCATGTTGACGGCGATAATTCAAACTTGACAAAAATCGTAGTTTCGAAGAGGAATCTTTTCATCGACTACACGTGCCTCTGTGTGAATCACTAACCCTATGACGTCACAGCCCGGCAGCATGAACGCCTCCAAATTATAAATTATTCACTATTCATATAAATCTTAAAATATTCAGATCTCGTGATCAAAGATTCTCGAACGTTTTACCACAGAATATTGTCGTTTATTTATGGAAAAGAAAGTTGAAATATCGTAACTATTTGTGAAATAAATACATTTTGTTTACACAGACGGAATTCGCTTGAAATTCGAACGCTGTAACAATGTTTGTTGTAGTTTGCCGTCCATAATTATTATAAAAGTTTTACAAAATCGATCGAGCATATGACCGGATTGTTTATCAATGATCCCGGTCAACTCCAGCAGACAGGAAATACACATGTCATTTGATATGAGTTTTCGCGGGAAAATGTCTCCCTGTTCCCTTCAATGATTCGTGACCGAAATGAAATTGAACACTCTAAGAACAAACTGATTTCCCTGGAAAAACAACAAAATAAAAGTCGATAACCTAAAGTAACTCAAGACTTAATGCGAACTATCACTTGTGCTGTCGTTTCAATACAAGCTGCAAAAATTCTGCTTTGCAATTTCGCGGTAAACATGCAAATCAAGCTTTGTAGCATCGACAAAAGAGAACCTTAAAACCGATATTTACACTCATAACTGATCTCGATCTAGATACACAACTCACTTTTAAGTCTAAAATATAAGTTCAACAGTAGTAGTAATGATATATTTCTATTTTTCGTGGAAGAATCGCCATTGATCAACGGTCATTAGATCGATTACATCAAATGCTTCTACGACGAAATTCTTTGAAAATCATTCTAGATTAAGTCACAAAATTGAAGTTTTAAAAAGACTTTTGACTAACCATAGCTGAATCATCGCTAGATCGTCCAGAGATACCACTATCGTCGAGTTGTTCCACATCTAATGCGAGTTTTCGCGGGCTTTCTTTACGTGGCGTTGAGCTCACGATCTTTATATCGTCTCTACCAAAGTCTGTCATTCTCGTCTACAGCTTTTGATCGACTTGTAAAGAGAAAAAATGGGCCAATGTCTGAAAATAAAGCAAAAATTCAATAAGAAAACGTCGAGAAATTGGAATTTTAGGCGCCAAGCGAACAGTAAACAAGCTGTTTCCCGCCATTTCACTTAATCGAATTTCGCTTGAAAATCGATAAATCCACTTAAAAGCCCGATGAATTTCTCACCTATATGTAAAGGAAAGTTAAATGAAGTGTCTCTTGTGCCAGGAGAAGGAAAATTGAGGTAAAAAGATCCCGTGAGAACGAGGAAAAAGGTGAGACAAAGTTGTTTGGTCGATGTATAACTTTGAACTGAATATTCAACTTGGTAATCTGTCTTTTGATTTTCCGCGCGAATGTGCGATAACCAATCACCGCCAAGAAGCTCGACCAATCAAAGCTATTGTTTATGATACGTCACAGGGTGTTGTAATATTAACCTGAGGGTGTCAATATTGTATTGAAAGTAGCCAATCACAGACGTCCTCTTTAGAAACAGGAATTAGAGAGATTTGCATGAAAATCAAAGCGAAAGTTTGCTAAGTTTCTGGTTGTGCTATTCATAAAAACACGTGGAGGAAGCACCAAGTCCATGCGGTCCTTTGATTAACATCTGAAAATGATGCGATCTGATCTTGAGGAAATAAATCGTTTTTTTTAGCTGGTCTTTTTACAAGTTTCTATCATTGGAAAATTTCCAGAAACCATGAAATAAATAATTTATACAACGCGTTCAATGTTTTATAAATAGAAAAGTTTTTAGCGGGAAAGGAAGCCCAAAACGTTATTTTTTCATGATATTTGAATGAATGCTAAACTAGATGTTTGCATGATATCATTTATACACCACACATCTATAGTAAAAACTGATAAACCCAGCATGAAGTCTTTTTTATTCAAGTAGAATATGCTTGAAAATATTAAGGACTCGATCTTCTTGCCAAAGGAAAGTGTTGTCTCTGAGGAGGCAAGTAACGAATGATGTGAGAAGTTCTGATGTAATTTCATTGTCATTTAACATTTTTATGGCGATTCTTTTTTTCGCGATCCAAAAATATTGCCTTTAACATGAGAATAAAGTACGACTGCTTCGTCGTTTAGTCATTTCCCATCATCGTGTCATTCGGCCTACGTGCGTCAGCTAGTGTGCGGGGTTTCGGGGTCACTTGTAAAGTTTTTCACGATATGTTTGGTTGTCGTGACGACGGATGGGTTGGAGGTGTGACGGAGGCGTATATCAACAAAAACAAAACATTGGACTTTGAAGCGTACTTGGACTGATGAAACGATTTAATCACAATGTAACTTGATAGAAACATAGCTTTTTTCAGCAATGAGAGAAAAAATTCAACGGTTGTGGATGTCAACCGCTTTATAGATGACTGAGAGGAAATTTAAAATTCTGAACTCAATTTTTAAAAGCACTGGTGCTAGAAATGATTACTCTTTCCTTGTGTAAAGTATATGGAGAGTTCTGTCAAATTACACGGAAAAAATCAGTTTTAAAATGAAAATTTTAAAACTGAGACTGTTGATAAAAAATTAAAACGATACTATTTGTTTTAAAGTTCAATGCGTAGATAAAATAATAGAATATAAAATGTGAAAAAAATAAGAAATCAATTTACATATAAAAAAGAGAGATTATATATAATAAATAAAAATAAAATCGATCGTTGCCACCGAATTTTAACAAGGTCTTAGTGGTTAACACAGCCTGTTGCCTGTCTCAATATTTTCTATTAAGTGTAATTTATCAAATGGCTAATGGAGACACTGAAAATGTCTAAGTGCATGTCTTGGATTACCTTAATTTAAGGAGATTCTTTCGTGATTTCTTTTCTTTGCTGGGAAACTAATAAAAAGCTCTTTTACTGATCCCAGTCAATCTTGAGATTGATGGTTTTTTCACCTGAAAACATACGAAGATGTCGTTCTAAAGTCGTCTTGTTGTTGACTTTTAATCGGAGAAAAGCCAGCGGTTTTCCAATGGAGTGCTTTCTCATTCATTACGATACCTGTTTTCAGTGATGTGTTATTGGCGGCAAAATTGCTTCATTCTCATTGGTTAACGACAGAAAAGATTTGACCAATCACAAAAAACCGTTAAAAATAGATAAAGCTGAATAATAGTCGATGACGTAAGCATATGTGGAAATGTAACATCGTCCACAATCCCATGAATAAGGCGTCACCCCCTTGTGGTGCACCCCCCTGGAAATCCGCTTCTGTCCCTGGGAACGAGGCTATTTTTTCAGTTAGGAAGATAGTACTTCCTGGATTACAGGAATGCTGGTATTCGATCTGTGCGAGGCTAAGTTACTAGTTATACCATACCAAGACAGATAAAGACAAAGGGCGGATTGTGTGAAGGCCGTGAATACAGCGTAATCCACAAAATAACTGCTTATCCAGGGGATACATCCCTAAATAAAATCTATAAATTGCATAATTCTTGTCCAGTAACGCCTCCCAAGGTTGTTAAGGAGTGTCCTGACAATTCCCAGTGCCTCGTCGCCTGTAGTCTAACAAGGCATCGAGTGTTCTTTGTACAATCATTACAATAGGACTATTCAAACATTTAATAATGGTTAAGTGGTTTTATTAGGTTTCATTGTTTCTTCATCTATCTACAACACGCGGTATATTAATACCAATACAGCCAGCCACAAGTGAAGCCAAGAATAATTCACCCAAAGAAGAAAGTTTACCATTATAAAACAATAATAGCTTCCATGATTCTAGTGTGCAATATTTTTATTTTATAGAAATCAAAATAACATTAAGGGGATTTATCTTGCTTGTGTGATGAGGGTGTCTGTGTACCAGCAGGGTCGGCGCTCTTTGATGCTGATTACAAAGCCGACATTACCATGAATAAAATATCTGACCAGATCTATGATTGAATCACATTGACAACCCCAGCGAGGAAAGCAGATTACCAGCAACAAGGAAAGTTTGCCATGGAATATATTTTAACTTTGAGAAACTTTTGATTTATGGCTTGGATGATTGCACAGTGGCTTCCTGGAATACCTGGTCATTGATGGTCGATTGATAAGCGTCTATTGGCTGTAGAAGTGGATGAAATCTAAGGTATGTAACGCGTTGGTATAGCATGTAATTTTTTGATTGATGGTCCATGTATTTCAATGGTAATCATTCACAGCAAAAACTCTGAGAAATGGAATGGAAATGTACGACTGACATGGTCGATTTTGTATAATTATTTGTTTAAAGTACCAGATATGTACTTTGGTGTTACATGAAGATTCTTTTTCAAGTGCTTCGAACGGTGGCAATATTTCGCGGAGGACAATCTCTTTTTTCGCGAGGCTACGATTTGAACCATAGTTAGAAAGGAATTTGTTACATATCGGCGTAGCAAAGGACACACCCTAATCAATAAACAATTTTGCAATAAAAGCAAGTCTTCTACTCACAGATAATAAAATTAGATTGTCCTTCTTTACTGGTAACCAATTAAATGCCATTTGAAAAACTAAGTTTTGATGAAATTGTTTCTAGAACCGAACAGGGCGATTCAAAAATTAACACGACCACAAATACTTGATAAATATTTGTAGCATTTGAGTGGCTTCCTATACCCATCTGCTCACATTAAATTGCCTGGACATTTAAATGGATTTACAATTAAAAATTCATAAGCACTTAAATGGTTTCCTATTTTCTCGACACATAAGCGCGTTCACTTTACAAATGTACATTAAGTTTCTCTCTTTTCAGAATCGACAAACCAGGAAGGGAAAACGTAGCGTTCAATGTTGTAAGCTCGGAGCATACTTTCACACATTGACTGTGAAAATATTCTCCGATCTTAACATATTGAATGCAGAAAACACAGCAATCCCAAGGCAGCGTTCGTCGAGCTTGTCACTTTGTTGAAATGAAGGTTTTTAACTTGCAGAATTTGATATTAAGAACAACTACCCGTTCGACCCTCAAATCACAACTTGCAACAATTCCAATTTCAATTATATTTTATCATATAGATGTCATATTATCTAAAGCTACAGAATACTTATAAAGTACAACCTTCTTATAATTTTTACTTAACACCCACGCCCACACCGCCCATCGCTGTCTTTATTTCGCAAGAAGTTCTTGTACATAAGGGTTGTCTTGAGCTTGAACATTTTGTTTTAGTTTATCAACTTCTGTCATTATTTGTTCATCTGTTAACTGGTCAAGAGGTAAACTCTTAACTTGACTTAGAAAATCCTTAATTATCTTTTCTCCATCCTGTAAAAAAGGAGAAATAAAAGGTGGAGGTTAATAGAAATGAAAAGCACTTGATAGCATTCTAAGTATACCTGTTTGACCAGTCTTCGCCTTTTAGAAGGGGAACATCCTGATTGGTCTGTAAGGACACAAAACAGGTTAAACAGGAAAAAACCTGTCATCATTTCTGTCAAACCTGTTTGTTTGTTTGTACATGTACACTATTTCAGTTACAAAAAGAAGACACAGAAATAGAATTATCAAAGTACTGAACAAAGAGGATGATAATGACACTATCTAACTTAGGGAAATCATAAACAACAGCAAACAAGAAAGTAAATGCAACATAAAGAGATTGTAATGTACCTATGACTCCCTGTCCAAGATCAGCTGTGTTACCCTGAAAGTCTTCCAGCTCAGCAGCTTTTTCTTTGGCCATCTAGTAGAATTATATATAAGATCATTAAGATACAAAATATTGTCAAAGTAAAGATAAAATGGCTTCCAGTGTCCAACCCAACTGGAATGCTGACTACTTAATAACAACAGCAATTTAACTGTAAAAATCTAAAGCTGTGGAGATTGCTGCAGGCCACAAAATGTTTGACAAACCCTCCCCCACTTAGTAAACCCTGGATTTATAAGCATGAATCATTTTGTATGAGTTGCAAACGAATAAAAAACGTACCTCAATTACATTTTGTGGAAAGTGAGCTAACTCTGCTACATGGATACCAAAACTCTGATCACAAACACCTGGAAAATATTGAAAACAAAATTCAATATTCAAACACAATGCCGCATGGTTAAGGAGACAAAAGTCTGGTATTGACAGCAAACTTCTAGTGATCTGATACCAGATCGCTAGTATTAACTGGTGTTGAAAGTGCAAACATCTCTTACCAGACATTACTTTATATAATAATGTTAAAGTTCCACCCGTCGTCATCGCTGTTACATGTAAGTTGGTTACAGTAGGAACAACATCTGCCAGAGCCGTTAGTTCATGGAAGTGTGTTGCAAATAAACAATAACACTTTATCTTTGTTGCAATGAATCTGTCAATCAATGAATCAATGAATCAATCAATCAATCATTCAATCAATCAAAGAATCATTCAGCCGTTCAATCAATCATTCAATCAATCAATAATTCAATTAATCAATCAATGAATCAATCAGTGAATCAATCAATCAATCATTCAATCAATCACTGAATCATTCAACTGTTCAATCAATCAATGAATCAATCAATCATTCAATCAATGGAAGGCTTGTTTGCTTATATGAATAATGAAAAGAGAGATGAAGACGATAATCAATTCTAGAACCACTACTTACTCAGAGATTGCCCAGGCAAGGCCAAAACCATCATAGGTTGATGTTCCTCTACCCAGCTCATCAATGATGATCAATGAATCCTTTGTTGCCGACTGTCAAGGAAAATAGTTGTAATATGATATTGAAGTGACAATAAATACATTATCAGAGAAAAATCTGCTGATAACAAACATAATGTGGTGTAATGTGGTCATTAATTCTCTTAAACGTAATAAGAATCAATACAACTATCACTGCACACTCACTGGACACTCACTTTCAAAATTGATGCTGTCTCCAGCATTTCTGACATAAAAGTCGACACACCCTTTTGTTGACTGTCTCCAGACCCCACACGTGCCAGTATGCAGTCAACCAAGGAAATGTGCGCCGAGGTGCAGGGTACAAAGCATCCAATCTGAGACATCAACACTACCACACCTATCTGTCGTATATACGTTGATTTACCACCCATGTTGGGCCCTGTGATGATCAGAAACATCTTTTCATCTATTGAAGAAAAGGCAGATTAATATCTGTAGTATATAATGCCATTGTAATGACAAATAATGGTTATATTCTGCTTGTTTTACCATGTGTTAAGTCAACATTATTAGCAATAAATGAAACATCATCTTGCATTTCAAGACAGGGATGCCGTGATGAATCCAGCTTGATATCTCCTTCACCTGGAATAATACATCATGATATAAACACATTATATAACTAGTAAAATATTTCCTATAACAATCATTGTGCAATTATTGTACGTCAGGTTATGTTTTATCAATACCTTGAGGTGACAATGTCGGACGTACATAAGGAATGGGTGCATTGGCTGAAACATGGGCAAAACTGAAACAAAAATTCAAATAAATGAAAATGGGAAGTGGGAACAAGAAGATTGAATGGGAAATGAGAATGGAAAGTGGCAATGGAAAATTGAAATAGGAGGTTTACCTGACTAGCACATCTAACTGTGCTATTACATCACTAATGGTCTGCATTGGCTCACTATATCCACCTTAAAAACAGAAATAATTCAGTAAAAAATAAAATTTTAAAGTATATTAAATGACATGTTTGAAATCCATAAATATTTTACCTGCAACTCTCAAGACTTCAGTAGCAAGTTTGCTCTGGACATCGTTATACATAGTACGATAACCTTGAAACTCTTCGTTAAGTTGTTTAAGAGATGAATTAGTGAACCTAATGCCATCTTTTCTTGTTTCTATTGTAATGTATTTCTTATTATTACGAAGTCCTTTCTCCTCCTGTAAACATATTGAAAGGATTTAATTTCCTTTGCTTTTTGAATTAAGTTACTTTTAACACAGGTAACCCAATCTAACAGGACTTTTGACATTTAAAGAGGTTCATTACTGTCTTAAAATAAGGCTTGAGAAAAGATGATTTAAAAATGAAATGCGACATTTTATATTTCTAAAGCCTCAAGGACTTTACAAGAGCTACAAATCTATAATACACACAGGAAAACCAGCCGTTTAGGGTCATGTAAATGCTACACAGGAACCCCAATTGTCTAGGTTCATTACCTTTCTAGTAACTCTAAAGAAATATCCAATTTGATTGTTTGACTCAAGTTTAATTGTCTTGCTTGGTTCTAAACCAAGGTCTCTGCCAGCCTATCATTATAATAATGATAATCAATAAATAATAATTATTAATTAGGGAACCATAAAATTAGGTAATGTTGATTATTATGAACTGCTGTCAATCAAGGTATGCCAATCTACATCTCATTAACCTTATTTAACTCTATGGGAATCTTTTCAAGAATTTCATCCATCTGTTCTTTACATTCTGAAATATAAATTATACAGCATAAAACTGAATAATTGAAAGGAGTATTAGAACTGATAAACATGAAGTGTCATATTATAAAAGTACATGTAACCAAATATATGTCAGTACCTTGCAAACCTTCATCAAATGAAGCTTTGATCAAATACTCATGATTTTCAACTTGCTCCAAGTCAATAGTTGTCTCAACAAGCTCGCTGAACTTACTAAAATCCTCCAGAAGATCCTAGCATGGACCAACAAGAATATATAAACACAGGTATTACAAGATGGATCTATAGATGGATAATTTTAGTATCATTTACCTTAATTGGTGTCTTAAACCATTCATCAATAAGTTTAACATGTGTGCCTTGGCATTTTTCTAGAGTATCAACCAGAGATGGAAGATTTACAACAGTTTGATAGACTTTGACACAATCCTTGGAAAACAATAAACAAACAATATATCTGTCAGTTTAACAAACTTTGAGTTGATTTCTTCCTCTAAACACAGCCTGTTACTACAGTTACACCTGTTGGAAGATGTTTGGGTAATCAGACTCTATTGTTAGTGGGAGGATTGGACCTGTATGTAATGGAGTTTCAGTATAACATATCAGACAGTATAATTGTATGTGTGAGACTGTGTCTGTTATGGAAAGTTGACAGTTATGATGGCGGTATTAATGACAATGATTATGATAATGATACTATTACTGACAGGTGTGTGTCTGGGTGTGCTGACAATGATGAATATAATTGGTAAACTGTTGCAACAACAACAAGGATTATCACTGCTAGATACCTGCAATGTTGCCTTCTGACGTTGAAATTTCTTGGAGAGACGAGAAAAGTCAGGAAACTTCTTGAGTTCATCCTATTAAAGTAAACACTATCAATAAATGACATGGATGTGCTGATACAAAATGTACATCATTGTTATAAGAGAGTGTGACTGACCTGAAGAACTTGTCTCATCTCTGTATCTTCTGTGAACTTTTCTACTACATTCAGTCTGTCTTCTGTTGGGAAAGATTATTTTGTAGCATTTTTCAGCATATGTGAAGGAGATATTGTTCAAACAATTTAGGTTCAGCAATGAAAACATGACAAAAAAAAAAAACAAAAGAAAAAAATAATCAAAACCAGAGCTACTACCAACAAAAACACATGTTGTAAGCAATAACATTGCAACTCTCAGAAGACACAGCGCCAACAGTGACAAAAAAAACATTTTTAATCAGTAGTTTACCAATTTTGTTCTTGTCCATCAAAGGTTGCTTGATCCACTGTGATAATAAACGTTGTCCTTGAGCAGTTTTACATTTATTAAGAAGACCAAGAAGACACATTGTTTTATTACCTCCTGACAACCACATAATGAAATGAAAGTCAGTGAAAATGGTTATAAATAAAGTGCACAAATATGTTTCATAAAAGGACTTAAATGTATGCATAACAATATACTAACCATCCATTGGATTAGGAAAAAGGTTCAATGCTCGTACAGCGGCAGCATCAAGTTTCATGAACTGACTGAGATCAAATGACTCCAGGAGAAACTGTCCAAAGTTTGTTTCATCAGAAAGTAACTGAAAAAAGAGTTGCACATTGAACACAATGATTTAGGGTTGTATGATTGAAGCATTCAGAACATTAAATGGTTCACAAACCTCAAGATACTTAATCAATGAAGCAAGAGACGATGTGGCATAAGTCAAGTCCATCTCAGCTAAAAATAGACAAACATTAAATCAATAACACTTCTCAAAAAGGTTGTCCACTGTCACTTCTTATACTTACGAAGAGCTGCACTGTTTCCTGATGCACCAAGTTTCAAAAGTCGATTCAGATCTTGTACAATGTCTTTGTTGGAAAAGTCAGCTTTCTTGCGCTCGGTGATGAGTATGTTTGAGCGGCGAATAATTTCTTGCATCGTGGATGAATCAGAATTTGCATCGTTTTGCACAAGAAGACATTCTTTTGGACCAAGTTGGACAAGCAATGCCTACAGGTGATAAAATACAATTATATACAAAATCTTGGAAAATAGAAGTAAGGAGAAACACTTACCTCTAGATTTGAAAACTGGTCATCATCTGTAAACTGAGAAACTCCAAGTTTCCTTGATGCACTGTCGGCATATGCAGCTCCAACAATCTAATGTTAAAAATGACAAACAACTAATTTCTATATTCTTATTCAAGTAATTTTCAGTTTTTGGTAAATTACTCACTCTCTGGCCATTGTCTGAACCAAGTTTAATTGCCATGACAACAGCAGATGTTGACATCTCTGCGTTACCAAATAACAGTTCTTCAAACTGATGTAGATTTCCAGGAGATGCCTTGACAGAAAGAGTACAATGTTACATCTTTGTCAATAGCAGAAAGATTTCAAATAGTTGCTATAGTGATCTACCTTAGCAATCACTTCCCATGAATTGTTAGTTTTTCCACCTTTATTTCTGTATAGCTCCACTCGATATTGCCTCACAAGAAGTAGATCTCGCAACAAAGACTCAAAATTCATTTTGCTTAAAGCCACAGAAGGCACTTTCTTATCTCCTATGAATATAAAAAAGGTCAGTCAAGCAAAAACAGTCAAGCAAAAACTTCCCTGATAGTGGAGTGCTTTTCTAAATGGGATATGAGGCTATTCAGTTTTAAAATTAAATTTATTTTCATGACAACCCACCTCCCAAGTATTTGATGACGCTGTTTGTTTTAAAAACTTCTTTAGCTGCAAACAATGCATCACTCCCGTGCACTGTGTAGTATTCCTGGAAATTGACAGGAAAATGGTAAATTCCAGATAAATTGACAGGAAAATAGTAAATAGCAGGTAAATTGACAGGAAAATGGTAAATACCAGATAAATTGACAGGAAAATGGTAAATAGCAGGTAAATTGACAGGAAAATGGTAAATAGCAGGTAAATTGAATTGATACACTACACCTCCTCAATGCCAATCCCCCTGATCTGCGATGCGTGAAATCATCACACGTGCGTGAAATGAAATAAATTTATTTTGCGCAAACTTACCGATCGATCGAATACTCGAAATGTTGTGTCCAACTTCTAAAAGACAAATAGTCAAAGGTTATATTATAACAATACATCTTATGTACGAAGTCAGAGAGAAAATCGACAAACAATTCGCTGCGTGACGTGCTGTACCTCCGGCAAGGACCGCAGGAAGGCGAGAAACCCATGCTCAGCGGGACTATCTAAGAAAATAATTCAGAAATATTAATTTCGAAGGTTAAAAAAGAGTTGAAAGACAGCCTTAAAGACATTTTTACCTAAAGAGATTTGTTGACAAGGCTGTAATGCCATTTCTGCACGAGATAGACTAAAATCCAAGGTAATGGCACCAAAACAACTTTAACACGTGACCAGAATGAAAATGGCGCCAAAATATTCAGTCGATATTTTATCGGATGATACTCGGAGTGAGTGATCGAACCGTAACCATCCATTTGTAGCAGGCGTTCCTTTCTAGTCCTTCATTGAAAAGAAAAAAGTTTCTAGAGAAAAACAAACAAAGTAGCAACAGAAAAGAAAAAGAAGAAAAGAAAAAGTAAACAAGAAAAAAAAAAACAAGAAACAAACGAAAAAGAAACAAGAATCAAGTTAAAAAAATAGAAATTCCAGGAGCAGGATTCGAACTCAGAGCTTCAACTTTAGGACAAGATGTAACCCCCCCGGACTTACATAAGAAATAATGAAAATAAAAAACTAAAAAGATGGGACGATTCCCCGGGCATACATAAGAAATAATGAAAATAAAAAACTAAAAAGATGGGACGATTCCCCCGAGACATTCTATGAAGCTGAGGCGGCGAATCGGCTTACGTTACGGTTAGAGATTTCGGCCCTTCCACGCTATCCCGAGTGAACATAAAACTTAGTCTTAACCAAAAGGCCAGGGAGTGAGGGGGTAGCCGCCCACTAGAGCATACCTTTAGCTACCCTCTTAGACCATCGTACTATGAAGACACTTGTAGATATCTAAAGCTAATTGGGGTAGTCTATTCGGCGAAAGTTCTATGCTAATATATGACGTCACCAAATCCTTAGGGTGCAGCGAGCCAACCAGAGCTCAGGAGACAGGGTTTGCATAATCATTCTTCAGTGGAGATGGGTGTTAGTGCGTGAGTGGCAAGTCGATTGTATACTAGCGGCGAAGAAGCTTTAAATTGTCAACTGAATTTGTTTAAAATGAAGACTATCTACACCTAGATACAGTAAAGTATCTTTGATTAGAATGGATTTACATTTTACTGTGATTTTGGTGAATTATTTTGACTCCCGGACATATAATTTTTCGTGACATTCTGTCCGGGAGCCTGTCCAGAGACGTGAAAAAACCTAGGGGGTAGCCGCACACTAGAGCATACCGTTAGCTAACCTCTTAGACCATCGTACTATGAATCTCAGATCAAGAATTAGCAATTACTTTTTACTTTTTTTATGTTTTGTCTAGCCGGTGTACATCCGTTTCTCACTTACTTTTTGGAGGGATGGGAAACGGATGTTTGCCGCTCTTCAGCCACTTCGTTTTACCGCGTGAACTTAAGAAGATTGGGTACTAGTAACATTCCGCTCAGCCAAATTCAAAATGTCTGCCGATGAAGACACAGAACTGAGAGATTTGGTTGCACAATCCCTTGAAAGCAAAGGAGTTCTAGGAAAAATAAGGGTAATTATCGTAGCTTATTATAAGACATTAGTGTATAGATGTACAATTTTGCGATCAGATCTAACCAAACATAAAATTCTTTGTTTCTCTCAATGAAACAAACTGTAAGCTTATCGATGTTTTTTATGAAACATCTTCTTTTTTACTGTGGCTTTCAATATTCTAAACACGTTGTATGTGCTTTTGATTGAATTTCTAATGTTTGTACATTTTATGTACGAAAATCGAGGCCATTAGCTTGTATTTATTTAGCATTTTACTAGATTAAGTACAAAACACGTTTGTTTGTTTGTTTGTTGCATTGCTGTTTCATTTGTCAAACGTCATGCCAAAACATTCTAACAAAACATATAAGCTTGAATGTTATTTTCATGACTTGTGTATTCTTGGTTCCTTTTCTTAGATTCCAGATGTATGTAAATGAATACTTTCCTTTTCTTGAGCGATTTAACTTAAAGGATAAAAGAATAAAAGTCACGAATTAATTTATGAGAAATGACCTTATGTGTGTATTTGATTCCTCAGGCACAGCTTAGAGCAAGTGTGTTCCTCGTTCTTGATGAGCAGGATGATGCAGAGGTTTGTAATGTTAACCCGTTTCTTTCACATAGAAATTTTGTGAGTTTCTAACTGAAGCTTGATGTTCTATTTGTTACAGAATAAAATACCCCTATCAAATCCAAACCTTAAAAAGTTCCTCAACAACAGTGAAGGTATTAATACCATTTGCCTTTAGCAAAAGAAAATAATTATTCAGCTTATTTTATAAATTATGTAATATGTTCTTTTGATTTTTGTCATACTACCATTAATTTTCCAGGACGTCTAGTTACTGGTCTTGTCAGAGAGTTCCTGGAATTCTTTGATTTGGATTTTACTATAGCAGTATTTGACCCTGAAAGTAGTTTTGTAAGTGTTTAATAAATTTCAAGAACTTAAGTCATGTACCTATATTATTTGAATCTCTCTTCAATATTTAGTACTGAACCCCCTTTATTATGGTTTTGTCTTTCAGAGCGATCGATATCAAGGCAGAAATAATTTAGCCAATGAATTAAAGTTAAATGATGTTGATAAGATATCCAGTAAGCCACTCCTACTTGAGGTTGTACAGAGAATGCTGCAAGGTGGAAGTACAATTAATACAAAACAACAACCACCATCTAGTAATACCCAGGTACAATTGGATGGGAGGGTGGAGGGATAAATGGATGAACAAATGAATGGATAAATAAATGGAGGGATTAATGAATAGGACAACAGAATAAATGACCAAATGGATGAATAGATGGTCTGGATGACTAAAAGATGATAAGATGGTGAATGAATTTATTATTATCACTGATCAGACTCAAGTGAAGAATTCTTCCTGGCAAAATGGTCCCATAAGCCCTCGCAGCTCAAGTCCATCATCAATTGGCAAGGTACATTTACAGCGTATGTATAATACATTGCTAATAAACATAATAATACATATAATATAATATAATATAATACATTGCTAATGAACTGTAAAGTTTATCATTTTAATTATATAACGTTCAATAAAATATTTTTGATAGGAAGTCCAAACAAAATGCAATTTAAGTAACAATAAAGCAGATTAGCCATTCTGAAATGATTTAGTTTGGTGCTATCACTAAACATCAAATGAGAATAGCTACCTGATAAATTACTATTGATATAAACAGCAAAGACATGATTTTAACAATAAAGTAAAGCATTTATTTACTAAAACACTGTTGGTTTTTCTTCAAGGAAGAAGATGATGCCAGTCGGTCAGAGTTGATGATCAGTGCTGGTTTTGAAAATGATGATTATATGGTACACTATTAAACTTAAACCCAGTCGCTAAAACTATCACAAATTAAAGAATAATTATAATAAATGTTTGTTAATGGTGTTATATTATTCACCTTCCACCACAACAACAGATATACAACATTAACATCACAACAACAAACACAATCTATTGTTTTTATTGTAACAACCTAACAATAAATAAACAGTGTATTCACACTATCAGGGAGCACCACAACAACACAAGTATCGCCAAAATCCATCAGTACAACCAGAACATCATTCGCTCTACATATATATGGCACAATGCAAATTGCTAAAAACTACTGATAAATTGATATTATCAGAAATAAACAACTATCCTTATGGAAAGTTCTGCTGCTAGTGTATTGGTTAAAAACAATAATTGAACAATAACAGCTACACACTCAGCTTAATATAAATGCATTAAACAATTGCTATTCAAATTAAATACAAGGCAACTTAATATTAATCCACAGTGTTGCTACTTGTTGCATGAGCACTGTTTTGTGTGTGTAAAATGTTTTTACTTGCATTGTCTTGTGTTTTCTATGCCTTTATTTATGATTGTCATGTCAGTATTCATTCCTAAAGTTTTCTATTTGTAATTGTCAATAAATGATTTATGCAATGGTTGTTTCCTCTAGAAACCCAGTAAAATACCCCAAAGAGTAAAAGACGACAGATCAAGATCAGCAAGTCATAGTCTTGCTAGCGAGAATGGTCTTGATCATATTAGTGAAGGAAGACTTGACCAAAAAGACAAATCATTGTCTGATTCTCGGCATGACCAGCCTGGACGAGGGTTAGTATGCAACCATGCTTTTGCATGACTAAAATAGACTTTGTACGACTAAACAATTGGCATGGTATAGATCATGGCCTGGTGTTTACACCACAGAAAACATTGCATTGATATTGTTCAGTGCCACACAGTTTTGAACACTCATGAGAAGTTATCTCTCACCACAGTTTTTTAAGAATTCCTATTTATGTCTTCATTTTAGAAGTCCTGATAGAACCATTGGTAGTGATGATGATGATATTTTTTCCGAGTTTATGTCCAAGCAAAAACCATCATATCAAGCAAACAAGACAAAAAAAGAGTGAGTTGGATATTTTACCACAGAAACACATTTATTTCCTGGAGATTTGACATTCTTGTGCTCACGAATATCATTGCTCAGGAGTGGTAAACTTATATTCTTTCTTTCAGTAGCAATGCAGACAAAAAGGCACTGGACAAACTGGAGTTAGGTATAAAATTCTTATTATACAAAAAATAATTGGTTGTTATGTTATATATAATCGCCATTTCATCTTCAATATTTCATGCAAGCTTTTTCTCATCACTTCTTTTATGTCATTATCTTACAGGTCCTAAATCCACAGCTGTATTGTCATCACTAAAAGGAGCACCATCACTAGGGGGTTCAGGACTTGGTTCATTAAAGGATGCGCCCCCCTTGACAGGAACATCAAAACCAAGCAAAGACCTGATGAAGTCACCAGACTGGGGGGACCTTGCAGACATAGACAACAGAATTAATAAATTAGGATTTGGTAAGTAAACATCAAATGTAAATCATCAAAACAACTGATAGCTCCATATTATTTGATAGCTTTGAAGACTAGCTGTAACACAGACTAGAAACTAACATTATAGCACTGGATTTGAACTATGATAATATTATAATGTCTTTTTTATTCATACACAGATCTTCATGGAGATGACAAAGGCAACCATTCACAAGAGTTTGATTATGAGGATGATTTCCAGCCATCAAGGTTAGTATTATTATTTGAAAATCAAAACTAAGTTGTCTATAACTGCAAGCTATGCTTTTCAGTCCACTCTAGGAACTGAAAAATGTAGTATTGAAATAACACAAGGCAACATGATATGATACAAAACTAAGACTTTATTAATAATTTTACACCATCTAACATTTAAATAATTCACATCTTAGTGAACACAGTTTAACAGAAGAGATCGAGGAACAACTTAGCAGTTACCATAGCAACAGCAGTAAGGTGAGTAGACATATGATATTTCCAGACAGTGACGTTTAGTCCTAATCAGGTTTACAGCCTTTTGCACAAATTATGAGACAATTTTATATATATAAATATACCTAACCAAATATCAAAAACACCCCAGAAATTATGGTATATCTCTATTATATTTTGTCATGATTGCCTAGCATCAGGTTGTTACAGACAAAATATCAGCGACGGTATCCCATAATTTCTTGGGTGTTTTTGATATTTGGTTAGGTATATTTATATATATAAAAATGTCTCATAATTTGTGCAAAAGGCTGTATATTGCATAATATATGAATATGAGGACCACATGGCACTAATGAAAGAAAGTTATAACTGCAATGCCAGTGTTGGAGGGTCACTTTGTGTGAGAGCTCCGTTGTACTTTATATTTGTTGTTAAATGATCAAGTTCTGCTGGATGTTTTGTTATGTCATATCGTCCTGCTGGCTTGTCATCAGCCTTCTAGTCTGACATATAGACAGAGCAATGTACATGTATGTGGAATTGACCTGTTAGGCGTTTTATTGTATGATTCCAAGGTTTTCTTAATACATCCATTGATTTCCAGTAATCAATATTAAATATTATCGTTGTTTAGGCCGACGATCCTCTTACCACAGACAGAACAGTATCACGTGCTAGTGACAGTGGTCTTGACTATGCTGAAGACATTTTAGATGATTTCTGAGAAGTTATTTCTCTGCTGCAATTCTACCAATGAAGATCTCTCTTGATTGTTTTGGTGTCTTCATATTTGGATATTTATTTGTCTTTGGATATTGGAAAACCCAAAAACTATTTCCAGATATCATGTTGTCCAGATAAATGAATGTGATATTTCCAGGACATGTCAAGCTTGTGGTGTGAAGGGTAATATAGGCTGTGATATTGAGCCACTATTGCAGACAGAACCCTGCAGACAGGAAAATATAGCTGTTGTATAAGATGTGACAACAATTAATGGAGCATTTCAGCCTGTGAAACAACATGGACCATTTCAGCCTGTAAAACAACATGGAGCATTTCAGCCTGTGAAACAAACATGGAGCATTCAGCCTGTGAAACAAACATGGAGCATTTCAGCCTGTGAAACAAACATGGAGCATTTCAGCCTGTGAAACAGTGGTCGTTATAATAGACCAAGTGTTTAGAGTGTCACTGTCACAGTGTGTACTTGTACAAAGCAATATTATTGACGAAAACAAAGTTTTTAACTTGTATTATAGGGAGTGAATTATGTATGATTGAAATAAATAGTTGAATATGTTATCAGCACTGTTTATGTCTTTGATTTTATCCTTTAACAATTTTTTCAATTTTCCAAACTAGCTAGCCCAACTTCATGCTCTAAGAGAATCACCTTGATAATATGATTGTGTATAATTGTACTGACTTGCCATGTGTATCAAATTGACCAGTTCTGACCTTTATCGAAATGACCGCTACAGTCAAATCTCGGACACCCCACTACAATGGACACCTCAATATTGCAGAGAGTAAAATACTGAATCCCCGGCAAAAGTACAAAGAAATGACTGAAAGTCATAATAGCGAGAGTTGACTGTATTCAGTGAAAATGGTCCTTATGGAGACAAGGATTAAACACAAGTATTTCAGTAAAAAAGTTTTATTTATAAATTAGTCAAGATGACAAAAATGCAAACCTTTATGTATATATCATACAAAATATACTAGGTGATTTATAGCAATTGCAGGGGAGACTTTCATTCAAAATGACAGCTTTGCAATCTAATCTAATAACTTTGGGTGCCTAACATTTTATGAATCCTGTGAAGTCTTGACCAAGTTTGAAACAGGTCCAGTCCAGCCATACTTTATATGTATAAATATATAAATATTTTATTTAATGTTAGAGTCCTGTCACTTTTGGCTTGAAGCTTACACGATGACTTGTTAATAACTCTTCACAATAAAACATGCTTGATCAATACTCATTAGAAAAGATCAATCCATTTATGGTTCATTGTTCTACCTATTAATAAATACTAATAATAATAGACTTAAGAGGTTAACTTGTTGCTATAAATGTTTCCACCCAACTCAAACCACTCAGGAGTGAGTTTCATTGTTGTATTTTTATTTCAGTTGAATTCTTAGAAACTTCGAACTTCAAACAGGAATTGAAATGGGTGGTTACGCAAATGGCAACGCGTTAGCAGATTAGGTCTATCATAACTTGAAGATAGTAAATTACCTTATATTTTCTTACTACTAAATGAAAGTTCAAATTGTATAACTGTTTCTTTTTTATGGAAATTAACAGCTTGTCATGAAACTGCAATTCCCACATTAACTACCTTTTTGTACAAATAATACAAACTGCACGTACAAAGTGTTCCAGACACTTTAAAAACAACATGCTATCACTGATGGACTTAATTATACCATAAATACTCCGTACTATGTCCACCTTGTACAATACACAAGTTATTACTATAAGTTAAGTGTGCCAGTACTCAATCATTGTCACCTTACGACCATGTGAACTATATCTTTATGGCAGCTATCATCTGTACTACTGTTATAACTATCAGCGCTATACAAGCTAATATCATCATATAATGGATTGCTATACTCCTCCTCTATGTCGTCATCTAGACCCATTACTGCAAGGACGTCATAATATGGGTTGTCAAAGGCAAGTAGGTGACTGGATCCCTGGCTGATGTAAGGAAGAAGCTCAAACTCTGCAGGGTCCTTTACTGCTTTCTTGGCACTTTTATTGGCCTTCTTGAGGTAGCAATAACGTACTTTAAAGGTTATCAGGATAGTACAGATTAGAATGGTTCCTGGAAATGGTATCATGATTAATTTTTTTTGGTCCTGCAAGGTATACTGGCAGGATTTTAGATTTGGAACTGCCAGTACTCACTCCACTGGGTCAAGACAGTTTTACAATTCAAAATTCCTGCCAATACACTCTAAAATCACATTTCAATTAAAATTCATATATGGAGTGATGAAAACCTGCATTGTATCCAGGATTTAAAAAATATTATATGTGTTGGAACACAGAGTGATAAAAATCACCATTGAACAACATTTCATTTAAACCTTCCTCGTGTATCTATAATGAAAGCGTCAAAGAAACTCACCAACTGAGGCACCGATGATAAGAGGGAGATGAATTGGTAGACTTGATGTCTTAGGAGGTGAATATAGTTCCCCAGTGTAATACCTTGCGGCAATGGCATTAGATATCTTATATGAAGGAACAAGCTCAAAGACAGCTGTAACATCCGAGGCATTGATTACAGTACGTCCGTCCAGAACTACACAGCTTAACTGTGTGCCTTGAAGTTTCTCAGTAATGAAGACACTCTTTGCTTCAAGTATCCTAGCAACAAAGTTATGATGTGATGTTTGTTTTGTATTGTTGTTATTGTTAGAGCGATCCATCTCATTAAGGTTAAAGGAAGGACTTCTGTCTGTGTCTTCTTCTTTTACTTGTGAGGCAACAGAGTTGTTGTTGTCGCTACTTTTGAATAAGTCATAGTATGTGAACATAATTTGCTCAATGCCAAGCTTGAAGTCTCTCTTGCGATCAATATCATTAAATATCTCCAATGATTCCATGACAACCATGGTAAACAAACCCTGTTGATAACGTAAACATGTTCCATCGACATGGTAACACAACATGTCTTGACGACAGATGCATGGTTCTTTACATTGAAGGCCAAAGGAATTAAGAGGGCAGTCATCATAGCACTCGTAACCATGGTAACCTGGTGTACATGTACAGTTGCCGTGTTGTTTATTGCATGGTCCAGATACATGTCTAGAGCACTCTGGACACGACATCTGGCAGTCTTGACCATAGGAACCATCTTGACAGGACTAAAAACCATCACAAAACAATGAAAAGAACCGTGAATAGTGAAAAAATAATATCATAATAATGTTAATAACTTCTCTATCAAATACCTGATCACATCGCCGATGAGTGTATCCAGGTATACAGAGACAAGTACCATCTCTATGGTTACAGGTCTTGGTGTTGCTAGGGTTGCAGTCACATATATTGCTACAATTGATGCCAAATCGTCCTTCTAGACATGCATTAGAGCAACGTTTACCAGTAAATCCCGACGAACAAATGCATGAACCTAAGAACAATGGGAAAGGAAAAATGGAGACATAAAAACAAGCATAAGTTCAACTCACTAAGCCATGCAAGAGACTTCAACTTCAGTGAAACACAAAAAACGATTCATGGATGCATTGAATTAAACTTTTACAGAATGTGATTGATGATTGTTATGAAAATAAGACCCTCACAATCTACTTATCATGTTTTACCTGAGACTGGGTTACACTTTGCTCCATTTTCACAAAGACACTTGTATTTACAACTAGAACCAAACTTAAATCCATCACAGGTCTGTCCACAATCTTTCCCTTTGAACCCCGCAAGACAAATGCACTTTCCAGTCAAATGACTGCAATGTGCACTATTTTTACACTGACAGGCCTGATGACATCCAACGCCAAACTTTCCCTCTGGACAACGATTCTCACATTTAACACCAAGATAACCCGGGGAACAGGAACATAGGCCGGTGAACTTGCTACAAGTCAAGGTGTTCTCAGCTATACACTGGCAAGTACTGTTACACTTAACTCCATATCGACCTGCCGGACATGTCTTTTTGCAGTGTTTTCCATGGTAACCAGGAGTGCACAAGCAGGAACCATCTTTGAAGTTACAAACACCATTGTTTTGACATCTACATGTTGATGTACAGTTTTTACCATAAAAGCCTGATTGACACTGATCTATACATCTGTACAACACATGGAAAAACAATTAGATACGGTACATTTTAGCATTTGTACTGTCAGATAGTAATTACCTCAGTCCGTGGTATCCTGGACGGCAGTTACAATCACCAGTTATATGATGACATGGTTGTGACACCTCAGTGACGTCAGGGTTGCAGGAACATGGACTCAAACACTGCATACCAAAGCGACCAGGAGGACAGTGTTCCTGGCACTTTGGTCCAGTAAATCCAGGAAGACATGTACATGTACCATTGATATGGTTACAAAAGCCATTATTTAAACATGAGCATTTTTGTGTGCAACTGTTACCATAGAAACCAAGTGGACATGGTTGGGTACACTTTAATCCCAGCCAACCTGGCGGGCAATGGCACAACCCTGTCTCTGGATCACATGACTTGCAGGAACACCTTGTAGTACAATTACTGCCAAAATATCCAACTTTACATTTTGTATTACACTTTGCACCCATCCAGCCAGCTTTACAAACACACCGTCCTGTCACATGGTGACAGACACCTCCATTCAAACACCAACACTTGGACAGACACCCACTTCCATATGTACCAGATGGACACTGCCTTTCACACTTGTAGCCATAGTAACCACTGTTACACTCACATGAGCCATTGACTGCATTACACAAACCATTTACGCAGTGACATTGCTGAAGACATCGGTATCCATAGCTTCCACTAGGACAGGCTGTGGAGAATAATGAATGGGTGAAAGAGAGAATGAAGGAGGAAGGGAGGACGAAAGTGAGAGAGAAAGGAAGGGAGGGAGAGAGGGAGGGAGGAAAGGAAGGAGGGAAGGAGGGAGGGAGGGAAAAAGGGAGGGAAGGAAGGAGGGAG